CAGTGAAACTGATAGAGCGCTCAGCTGCGAACAATGGCTTTGGGGAGAGCTTGTGCACGGAGGTGTAGACGATTTCAGAGGAACTGTTTCTACAGGTCACATATATTGAAAGTGTCTGTCTGAATTGGAATAGAGAAGGCAAGACAATGTGGCTTTATGCATTCTGCTGCTGAAGAGAATGGGTGCTTCCAATCCATACCAGAGCATTTCCAACTATAGGTGCTTGTAGTGTGTTGGTTTGGCTTGAAAGGCGATAAAAGTGACAGTGTGACAAAGTTGTCTTGATGGAAAATGTAAACAGACCTGGAAGGGGTGATGACCTTGCAGTGATTACATCTGTGGATAAAAAGAGCAGAGCAGATGCCACTTTTTGAAATACATAAAATACATATTGGTAAATAACACAAAACATGGCCAGAAGTTCAATCCCCTGATGAAACAGGTTCTGTATGAAAATCTGTTTCCTTGTCAGAATGGATTCCTTCTGTTTCAATGCTTTACCCAACTACTTAAAGCAGGGGTACTCCCACTGATGTCTGCTGCCATTGTGTCCCTGGGCAAGACACTTAACCCCACTTTGCCTGAAGCCCCTGCTGAAAGAACAATGCTCCTGTGGATTCATCACAGGAGCATTGCTGGTGCTATATTTACTGACTCCCCCCCGACCCAGAAATGGATTAAGGGGAAGAAAATACATTCATTCTAGCATGAATGTATTATTATTATTATTACCTTTGTCTGTGTTAAGAAAGGCCCCCCACCCTTCTGTCCCCCGCTCTCAGCCCAACTCGTCAAATAGTAACTCACCAGGCTCTTTCTTACAAGTTTGCAGAATACAATATAAACTGGAGTAGTCAGATTAGTTCACATTTTAAGACTGTTTCACTATTCAAGACTATTCCTCCTGCGACAATTTGGAAAATGAATGTGTTTGAAATATCCATCCATCCATCCATTTTCTACCCTTTAATCCAGTTCTGGGTCAGGGGGGTGGCAGTCAGAGATGCCACCCAAGTCTCATAGCACCAGCCCCTCACTGACCCTCTGCAGGTGGTGAGTCCACAGGAGGACGGCTGCTCTCTGAGTGTGAGCATAGCCTTGATCTTTCAGTGGGGGCTTTGGGCAAAGTGGGGTTAAGTGTCTTGCCCAAGGACACAACGACAGCAGTCATCAGTGGGAGTCGGTGGAGAAGGTGTAGAGGTGGGAATTGAACCCACGACCTTCAGGCCTGAAGGCCAATGCTCTACCAACTGAGCTACTGTCGCCCCATCGTGTTTGAAATAAAGTTAGTTTGAAAATAAAGTGTTTGAAATAAAGTTAGTTAAATGAATGACAAATAATGGTATTATAAGTTGTAGAATCAAGTAAAAGAATTCAGAATGCTCTTTGGTTTATCTTTATTTAACTCTCCTGAGACAATATTAGCCTCAAGGGAAAGTACTTCACTGGCGGAATATTCCACCCATGTTCATATCTGTTGTGTAACTCTGAGTAACCTTGAGTCTAATCTGACCGTGTGAAAAATAACGTTCAAAGGACACACAAAAACACAAATGCTCAGCAGAGAGCAAACGTCAAACTCCTCTTTTGTGTTTTAGCGTCGAATAACTTCATTGTAGAAATCACAAGAGACATTTTCCACCGGCCTCTGTGACTACCTTGCATAAAATGAGATCGGCTCCTGACCTAGACAACAGATACTTGGCAGCACTGTGTAACTCCTCCACACTTTCTTATGACATTATTCCCTCCGCTTGTCCCTTCATAACCGTGATGCACTGTCGCTCCCTGAGGCTCATGTCGTGTTTAATGGTAGAGTTATCCAAACAAGAGCCTGTGACAACGGTCGGACACGCCGTCGTCTTCTCCAATGGGATTTGCCGACTAAGCCTGCGGAGGGGAAAATAAATGCATGAAAGTGACGCTTTAAACACCACAAGGATGGACAAAGATTACCTCCGACGGTTGCGTGGACGTGCTCACAGAAAACAGCTCGCACAGTCAGTGGTGAGATTGTGATTTGGAGCTGGGGTGGTAGAAAATGGAGTTTGTTCAGAAAATTGCAAAAAGTGGCTGCTGAAAAACCGGTCTCATTTGTTGCAAGGTAGACATACAAGACAGAATGGTTTTATGTACTATGGATTGAACTTCTGCATGTCACAAACATAAATATTGTATTTTGGATTTCTTTACGAGAGAGGAGAGACCACAATATCAATGATAGTTGTGTAATAAAAGCAAAAAAAAAAAACAAATCTTGCGTTTGGATCTATTTTTGGGGTCGGTGCTAGTATGTAATTTTTTCAAAACCCAATTTATGTTTGTTTTTTTGGATGGGACTGTTTAAAGATTTGACAGATTGTCGATTTGTATTTCTTAATTCCACCCCTCACTCACAAACACACACTTATTCAACCCTTATTGCATATCTTTTAGTGATAGGGGTAACTGGAGCACCCGGAGGAAACTTGATGCATGACACCTGGACAACATGCAAACGCCACACAAAAAGTAGAACCCAGGACTTTCATGCTAACCACTCCGCCACCTTGCCGCCCCTGTGTACAAAATACAGATCCTGTTTTTTTACCAAACTTTCCCAATTCAAGTGATTTTATGTGCCAACCTTTAGTCTCATTTTTTTGAACCCTTTGCTCTCTGAAAGCCCATATTCCCGACCTCAACATGTAAAGTAACACCTTTAACTTCGGGACATATCCTCCTCATTCACTCCCCTGTCATTTTTCTCCACTTTTCCCAGAGACTTACTGCCAATCACAGAAGTTCACGACCGACCCATCACATGCCGTTTGACAAATTATTTTTTGTCAACAAGCTCCCTGTCAGTGAACTTGGATTTCTTGCCCCTCCAGACAAAACTTCCTTTCTTGTGTTAAAAAATCGGAAGTGTCAAATGTCTGTGTCCCGAGGAGTTGGTTGCGTTTTTTCCCAGGAATGGAGGGATCCCTTCATAAGTATTCGGCTGGTGTGACTGGTCTGCGGTGCACTCGATACCTGCACTTTGAGAATGCAGACAGCTCGGTGTCAACCTTTTGTCAGTCTGCATGGCTACGGGCGAGAAGTCAAATATTCTCAAGAGATCTGCAACAAACTTCTCCTGACAAACTGGGTGTTTTTTTTCCCCCACACAGAGCTTATTTTGTTGCACTGTATTTCGTTATCATATTGTTCATTATTTTTGGTGAAGTTCAAATTGCTTGCTTTATTCGACTATTAAAAGAACAAGCAATATCACTTGCTCTCAATTGCAAATACATTAGCATAACTTTGCACTTTGACTTTACTCTCTATCATAGTTATTTTTTCTTTCCTTTTTGGGTACATGTGTTATAGATATTGCGATATCTTAACACAAAATATAACGTAATTTCAAGCGTGTGACTGAAAGTGTTTCCATCAAAAACGGACAAATATGGGATGAGATTGTTTTTTACATTTATTTTATCAATCAATCAATCGTTTATGTGCTGGGGTGCACATAAGTGGTACGCAGGTACGCATGCGCGGCAAATATCAGAAATGCGTACCATTACCAGTTAGTAAGCGCTTTTGCGTACTTCACATAGACCAGTCCTTCTCAAATAGTGGGGTTCTGACCCAGGGAGAAACTGTGGCCGCTCTGACATCTCAGCGAACGCGCGTGGTCATGTACCGAGCGCAGACCATAGACGTGCCTACAGAACCATACACACGCAATCAGGACCGTCCCCAGGTTGTTGCACGTGTGGGTCTTGCCTGTCTCCCCCGTCTCTGCCCCGTCTTTCCCCCACGCCTCACCCAAGTCTCCCCCAAGTCTCCTGACGAAGCGCAGCCAAAACAGCCACTGAATTAAAGCTCAGGTACCTACATTTTCGCGCGCATTGCATGTTATTTGTGAACCAAAATAACATTTTGTGACCAAATATGTACTAACTAAATACAGTACTAACCAAAACTTTTTTTTTTTTTTTTTTTTACTTACTAAAGAAATATCCCTGTGAGTCATTTTTTGACTTTTTGGGCCGAAAGTGGATTTTTTAAATATTTTTTTCCACATAGTTAGTGCCACTTTATTGCCTCTTTTTGACTTATTGTATTGAGAAACATGTGTTAGTCTCACATTATTATTGTTTTTTTTTATTACCTTCCCTGTGTGGAAGTTGTATACCCTTTTTTATTATTCTACTGAAGGATTATAATAATACACTGCATTTTTATTGACAAGTGTCATCTCTCAAATTCTTTTGAAATTATGTTTCTATCTGCTCCAGAGGCCGAGATATCAATCATTCTGTAGATTTCAGGAAAACCTCAGGTTTTGGAGGGTGGTTCTGAAGTCGGCCATAGGTTTTACAGGTCAGTTTTATCAGGTGTGTCAGGCCTTAATGGATTAATTGACTTGGATTGAGTGGATTATCTGAGCTGATCTAAACTTTAGCATTAAAAAGAAGCAAGTATAAAATCTTGATTAAGAACCGCGCGACAAATGACATGAGTACCAAACACCATGTCCTGGTACTCATCTGAATACCTCACTGAAAAAATTATGTGCACCCCTGTTTATGTGTATAGTACAATTCATGTACAAGGTACCTGTAGTTCAAAGTGCTTCACAAGAGCAATTCAAAAACACAGATAAATGTTATATAAAAATAGAGCAGCATAAAAGTATGGAGTTTAAAATGGGAGATAAAAGCAATACATAGTACAAAATAGAATCAGTTGTAAACAGCCAAACACGTCATGTATTTAACCTAGTTTTAAACATAGTCAGGGTTGAGGCTTGTCTCACAACCTTTAGAAGACTGTTTCATATCCTATAGCAGCATAGATCTGACTAGGCTGCCTCCCCTTATGACAATTGGTAACACCATAAAACTTTCTATTTCACACTGCAAGTCAAACGATGATGTCATACTATGGCTTTCTCATATTCCCATCAGCCCCCTCTCCCATACATATTGATCCCATGCACCTCTTGTCACTGCTGCACTGGGCCTTCACGCTTCGCACACCTGAGCCACTGTGCCTTGGATCTGTGCGTGTGCGTAATGTCTGCTTCTACTACGACTAACCCCCCCGCCCCCCGCCTGACTGAATACAGATGTGCTCTCAACCCTCACCCACCCTCCCCCACTGAGCACGTTCCTGCCACAACAAGAGAGGCTCAGGTTTAGCTGTCAGGGCGCTCCCACAGGGAACACTGGGCAAGTCAAAAACAGTCCCATCACCTGTCACTCGCCATACTGTGTGTGTGTGTGTGTGTGTTTGTATGGATGTACTTGGGAGGATAGTGGTGTCAATGCCGCACACCAAGTAACAAAAGAGAATTGAAAAAAAATGCTGTGAAAAAATACCTACCACAATATACCACAATAGTCAAGATTATATGCTCAGTCAAGGAGGTAGTGTGATTAGGGTTTGTCTGTATGTCTGTTGTTTACGACATTAATTCTGCCCATAAATATTTGTGTTAACTCAATCTTCAGGAAATCTTTTGGAGGTGATCTGATTTAGATCCAGGACTTGATCCAAAACTCCCTGCTCACATCAGATTTCATATCAGTTTGTCCAGTTTTTTCTTACCTTAAAAAATGATATCACCTGAAGGCTGTTACCAAGGACCAGTTAGATGAACTTTGCCAAATCTCTTACAGAAGGTATATTTTTTACAAACTGGAAAGTAGAGCACTGTTGCCAATTATTATTTGTTGTTTTAAATTCCTCTTAAAAACTAGCTCCTTCAGTGTATAATAATCATTTATACAGGCGTCATTCCAAAAGAGGAAAGCCAACTAGAAATTCATTTTTTAAAAACTGTATAGCTTTGGGTTCTACTTTTGCTTTTCATCTTCGCATTAGTGATTCCAAACATGAAGCGCTGATTCGATTCGCCAACAACAGATCAGAGAATCCAACAATCGAATACAGGAAATGCAATAATAACAAACAGAAAGAAACAACTGGCCCATAAATATGAGAATATGAGACTTCAAATTGGTTTTTGGTTAAACAATTCAATTATGTTAAAGAAATAGTACATTTTTAAAACCGGGATAAGAAATACAAAACAATCGTCCATGGTGTGTAGTTCTAGCATAAGCTGCACATGTCGATGCCAGTCCCTCGACCTCCTCCCATTCTGTGTCCACTCTTCACAGTCACTGCTCCAGCTGAGGGACTTGCCACCTGCTCACTGGTCTGAGTGGACATGGTGCCTGCTCCAGCTCTGGCCTGGGCGTCCCTGATAAGAGCTGCTGTGTCTAACATGTATATCCACTGACTGCATGTTCCTGCTTCAGAGGACTATTTTACCGAGCGTTATATGTTTTGGCCCATAGATTTCCAATCACGTGTGCCATCTCTGAAAATAGGGTTCCAGCAGGCTCGCCTCTGTCTGCTGTCAGCGTTTGCTTTGTGACAGGCCCTTTACCAGAATTACTATATCGACTTTTTATTCAATGGATGAAGAATGAGAAATAATTGTTTGCTCGGCTCAATATTTGTGAGTAGGGAACATTATTCAGCTTATTATTAGTGGCTTTCAGATTGTGCAATGTGATGATGCCCTATTCCAGATAGGAGCACATTATACACAGTAACATTATGAAATCTTGCATATTGTTGAACCACTGAATAGAAGCATCCAGAAATACAGCATCACAAAAGAATGTGTAATGTGAACATTCAAAACTGTATGTTTTTCTTCATCTTAAAGATTATACAATTCATATTCTAACCTTAAATCACAGGGACCTAACTTTCAAACCACTCATATTGTATCTATGTTACAATAAATAACATCCAATTAGTTTCCTGCTAAAATCATGGTCTAAGCCCAAAGTGTCAAATAGTGCCTCCTCCGGCTCTTTCTTACAAAGGAACCATATGCTGGACACTAATTTAATTTAATGTATTTACTCGTTTTATTTGTTTTGTTGATGGTTGTGATGTTGGCATCTGTACCAATTAACCCTTTTGTATTCAGTGTATTTTATACTTTTTTGAATTAAAATTAAAAATACTAAAATTAGGATATCCTTTATTTGTGTTGCTTTACCAGTTACAGAACAGTAAGAATGAGCAGCACCCAGCACAAGATAAATGAGCAAAAAGTGGGAAATGAATTTGACATTTATCTTGTTTTTTTTTTTTTTTGCTTCTTAGATGAAGGCAGCAGGTTGTGGTCTTATTTGTTCACAGAATTGCTCAGTTCCGTTGCCCAGCTTTTATATTTAAGCATGATTGATACCTATCTACATAAGTAAGTGAGTATAAGGTTTACATACTGTGACAAACCTCCACAGCTGCACCAGACTAGCACACAGTCGATTCTATATTCCCTAATACCTTCATACAGCCTGTTGGAGTATTGTCAGGCAAAGTTTAGTGTTTGCGGTTTCACACCTGATCAAAGTCGCGGACGCAGTGGGAAGTTCCGCCTCAGAGTCTTAGCGGTGGTGCGCGGGGCGGCTTACAGTGTTTGACTAACCTTGTGTTGTGTTTTCTTCCTGGATGGTGGATCACATTGATGTTTTCAAAGTCTGCTATCTGTTAGTGCAGGATATATAACAAACTGTCCACAGTGGTCCGCTTTGATTTTTGGGTTGTCGTTTTTTTATTGTGCATTTCTGCCAGATTTGTTCCATAGACACAGCAGGCGGTGATGGCGCTGAATGACGCCCGGCCGGACAAAGTCTCTCTCTGCTTTGCGTTGCGATCACTGCTAATCCCCTGATGCACTGGTGCTGGTGAACCGTGCCTGTCTGCTGATACAAGGGAACTTTTAGTACGGCTAAAGTGACTCATTAAAACTTTACTAAGGACAAGTGCACTGCAGAAGAAAACTGCTCAAAATTGAGTCTATAATTAGCTCACTTGGGTCTATTAGAATCAATTATACTACAGTGTGGAGTTGTGTTTACTGGCGTGTGCGCTGGTGAAACGATGGCAAGTAAATCAGTAGTTATATTTCAATTTGAATGCCAATCTTTGTTTTCATTTAATATAGTTTTTGGCAGTTTGACTTCTGCAATAAAAAAAGATATTCCATTATAATAACAGGAAGGGAGGATGCTTTTTAGAATAATGCTGTATATGGGAAAGAATCCAAGAATAATGTTTTGATCTGGATGGAATTATTAATTATGTATGAGTGCATCTGTATCCTCCCACATCATGACTGTTTTAACCAAGTTTGTTGGCTAGTCGCAGGAGAAGAACAAAACTGATTTCAATACTATAAAACTATTCTCAACAGTAACTTTGATATCACAGCAAATGTGTATTGCTTTTCTTTTTAGGACAAACTAATTTCTAACTCAAAAATAATAATAAGGGGCCATGAGGTCTTTATGTCAAGTCCTTAAACTACAGTTTAAAATACATAAAAAAAATCTCAAGAAATGGCCAAGTTACATCCGCCATGCTCAACCTTTGAGAAAAGCTATTAATTGAAATGCTTTTTAACTGTTTTATTGTTTGAATGCATAAATGTTTGAATGGATTTTATGTAATTTTATTGTGAAGCGCTTTGGTCACCTTGAGTGTTGTAAAGGGCTCCATAAATTAAATTGATTGATTGATTTATTGAACATCACAGCTTCCTGATTGGAAAACTAAATAATTGCCATTGGTTGAAGTATTCTCATACAGAAAATCTTACTGGTTGTGGTTTTGCCAAGAGTTGGATCCATTTGAAAAACTGCTATGGAATGCACTGAATATACATGATAGCACAGGGTCATATGAACATAAATAATACTAATATTCTTGAATGAATGACACAATTGAAGTTGCTTTAAGTATTGATTCTTATCTGCTTTTTGATATGTTAAACCTGAGCACTGGTAATAATCTGGACATCCTTTTACATACATTTATTGCAAACCTCATCCATATTGTTCCTGTCCTTTCCAGGCTGCAGAGGAATGCTGTGTGGCTTCGGTGCCGTCTGCGAGCGCAACCCGACCGACCCGTCCAAGGCCGAGTGCGTGTGCAAGAAAGTGGAGTGCCCCCTGTTGGTGGCTCCCGTCTGCGGCTCCGACTCCTCCACTTACACCAACGAGTGCGAGCTGGAGAAGGCCCAGTGCACCAACCAACGCCGCATCAAGGTTCTCCGCAAAGGGCCGTGCTGTAAGTCTCCTCTCCCACTCTTACACCCTTGAAATAGACCTCATCATGAATTTAGATCGCCTGTCAGGGAAACACATTTGCTATTTCCAGGGCTGGGGAGTGTCTCAAACTGCAGATGGCGTTGTTCCAAAAGGCTATGTGACATGATTAAAGCCGCATTTCAGTCATGACAGCTTCTCGACACCTGGCCAGACATTTTATTGCTGTTCGAGCCCAATGTAATCCTGATGACGAGTTTGCTTAATCCTGTTTTGTATATTTCACAGTTTTCTTTATCAATAGAACACTCAGCAACATGGTATTAAATCAGGACAGGGCACAAACAGAAAATCTCAACTTATTGACATCAAATTGTGAGAGGCTGAAGAGAAGGATTAGTTCTTCCTCCAAAAGTTGCTATTTTGGTGAATGAACTTTGCCAAGGACAGGCGTGTTTCTGTCTTCATTCGTCTTACCACAGTCTGGCTTAAAGGACACTTCTATAAGTTACCTGTTTGTGCTTGGCTGCAAGGGTATGTTGAATTGAAGCTCAGTGACTGAATTCTAGATTTGCTATGCAGATATGTGGATTGTGGTATTTAGCTGATTCCTTGCATTAAAATGAGCTGTACCATCTATTGGTGAAGGAACAATTTGACGTGACGTGGCGGCTGAGTGGGGGGGAACAGAAATACATCTATAAACAGCTGTGAAATCTGGTCCAATGTCTGATATTTGTGAGACTTTGGATTGACTTTGGATGGTTTAATTGACGTGAGATGATTTTATCACGTATTATCAATCAATGTTTCAGACACAAAAAAGGTCAGACATCAGCAAAAACATAGACAAACAACAACAGTTTGAAATACTAAAGTCCAAATTGGCACTTCTAAATGCGCCACAAGGGTGATCATGTGGTTCTCTAAAGTTTCATACGGTTACTTTAGGAAGTGTAATTATCAACAAAGACATGTGTGAGTATGCGTTTGTCTCTTATTTTCTAATAAATAAATAATATCGAAAGAAAACTGAAAAATGTTAATTCATCATAGCCAATTGTACAGCTAAGCTAATTGGATTCATTGTACCAACTTTTCTATTGGACAAAAAGCACTTATCCAGGCTTTGTTGAAAATCCCTTAACGCTTTCTATAGGAATGATCAGTTTAATTAAAACCATTTTAATTGCTTGTAGGCATGGAAATATATTAGTTATATTGTCTCCCATTTGACCGATCTTTCATTATGTATGTTGAACAAGTGTTTTACCTGGCAACTTAAGTAACTGTTTTGTTTTTCTGAGTTTTGCCACAAAATCTTTGGGAAAATATGGAGGCCATTACTGCCGCGTCCATGGAGCAGGGGTGAGTGCGTGTTATATGAACTGTTGCCATTAGCCGTATTGAGCGCTGTGAGAGGTGAAATTGGTGCCTTTGATCCAAAGAAAGATCAATGTCAGTATAGGATCAGTGAATGTACAATATTTCAGAAAGTAATCTGACCCGCGCTGGCAGCTTCCATTAGGCTTCTGTCGGAGAGCTGTAGAAAGACCAGTGTGTGTGGGTGGGGGGATAATATATTGTATACAAGTCACAATATTAGCTTAAAATGTTGACTGTATAATTTCTCGGTGTTTCAAAGTACAGGTGAAACTCTGAACTAATTTATGGAACACTCATTACACACAGAGTGACATCTCTCTCTCTCTCTCTCTCTCTATATATATATCTATGCAAACATCTCTCTATAGGTATAGAGAGAGATTATACATAGAGACATATACACACACAGCTGCACGTGGTTAGTACTGTGATGGCAGACCTCTGGGAAAACCAGAAATAACAGTATGTTCTGAACGATATTCATATTTTCACCTGGATCTAATGTTTTACTTGTAAAATCTGCGCAGTGTTGTTATCAATTTGGAATCAGTTTTAGATTTATTTTAACAGATTAACACATATTCTCAAGAAGATGATGAAAAAACATTATTTTTTTCCCCTTATTCAACAAAGGGGCTGATTGAAATTTTATTCTATTCTTTTACGGCCGTGCTCAATGCCCTCACGTTCTCATCTGAAATTTGAAAATTGAAATGTTCTAATTGTTAGCTCTGCCTAAACAAATTTGATTAGCAAATCTGCTATTGATATTGTTTGCCTTGGCTTTTTGCAGTGGAACCAACCCATGCCAATCTTCAAATCTGCTGTATTCAGCGAGCCGCACTAAACAGGCCATTATTGTGAAGAAATGGATTTATATTAGGCGCCTTCGTCACACAACGGGCGCTCTTCTTCCTACATTTATCCCTCCAATAATAAAACACGTCGCTATTATGTCCAGTTCATTGTCTCGCCAATATGGCCGCTCTCCCAGTGCTTAAGCGCCACCTGCACTCACTCACACCAAACAAAAAGTGTGCTTCTCCCTAATGCCCGGCGGTGGGTGAGCTCTGGTTGCCACTTGTGTAAGAGCCAGGCCGTTCCAGCTCGTGAGGAGGGTCCTGCCAACATAACGCTGCAGTAGCCTGGGTAAATAGCCCTAGTGTGGAGTCGGAGCTGCCAGTGTGGGCCTAGTGCTGATTCCAGAGCTCTGATTGCATTACCTGGCACTGATGATGAGCTTGGTGAGTGTTCAAAGAGGAAGGAGTGGGATGAAGAGGCTGCAGAGTGGACAGGGGAAAAATGGACAGGAATAGATGAAGTTGTGTTGGGAAATTATGCATGCAGTTAGAGGTGGGAATTGTTTTGAAATAAATATATACATTATAAATGGCGGTTTTTCAGACTATTGAAGAGTGAAGTTGGAAGGTAAAACTAAAGCTGAATTCTGCAAACAAAATCCCAAAAAAGATAAAACAGTGAAAAATGGTTTTCACAAGAATACATTTTATATTTTTTCTAATGCAAATATTTTGTACTTTGACTTTGGATCCCCATTGTCATTTCTGCAGCAACGCTTTCTTCCAGGGGTCTATGGCCTCTACCACCTGTTTTCTTCTCGATACAATACCCACGTTCCACCAGTGTAAACATAATTACGACTGCTGGAAACACAAGCAGACAATAAAGGTACTCAGACGGTTTAAACAAAAAACCCTTAGACCTCCTGTACTGGCGACCCTGCTACAAAATAACAATTGTAAACCGCTTTGAGACTCTGACCTGCAGTGAAAAAGCGGTATATAATTAAAGATTTCTTACTTACTACTACTTACAATTGATCTCACAATGGAGAAATTTACTAAAGATTGATATTTTATACTGCTATTTTTATTAGAGTTTTTTTTAGGTATAGTTATTATTCATGTCTGTTGTGCTGTGTGCTCCTCATTCCTACTGCTTTGTAACTTGTTATGCAACACTGAAATTACCCCACGAATAAAGGATCTCTTTATCTTAATCTTAAACCCTTCATTCAAAATAGTGACGTTTTTTCCATTATTCCTGCACCTGAACTTTTTTGGAGATAAGTATTTGTTTCATGTTTCAATCAACCGGCATCTCTCCGTACGTCCCAGACTCCAAGTACTGAAGTGTAATAATAACAGGTCCAAGGCTATCAACAACCCTGCAATTACTTCTGCAAACCCGAGCAGCACACACACTCGCAAAAAATAATCCAATATATGCACAACGACACAGTTAATGATAGTGTTGCTGTACTCATTGCCAGACTTACTCGTGATGCATTGTAGATGTGGAGAAAAATAGTATTTCTAGTGGTTTGTTGGATGCATTTTGAACAGGCCAGTGCAATTGGTGGTGATCTGCCTAATAAAACATTTTGCTCATGGTCAAGGCACCCTTTGAAATCAGGCTAAGTGAACATAAGGCTGAAGGTATGTTTTCTTGAATGTAAAACCAGGCGTCTACAAGTGAATGCTCCGCTGGAAATATGCCTTTAATATGGTGTTTTTATTTGCAATCTTGTTTTTTTAATACGTCTACATTTCACATAATGGCATTTACCTGCAGTAGGGTGGATTTTTTTTACAGGCAAAACTATGTAATTCAGGCGTATCCAGGGGTTCAAAGTTTTTTAAGGTTTTGCATATTTTAAGACTTTTGCATATTGTAGAATTTTGCCAGGTTTCTCTTCTCGGTTAATTTACCGTTTACCTGTTCTCACTTGAGTGCAGTGACAAGTTTTGTTTCAATACAGACCTTTTACATCCACATGCTTGTATGAGGGTTCATATTTTGCACTATACATAGACTTTGAATGAGAATGTTAGGTAGAGGGAAATTACTTGGACACAGTAGCTCAAAAAGTTTGAATACAAATGGAAAAGCGTTTAAAGGGTCTAAAGCAAAATAGATAAAATACATACATACGAAAGGATTGTGCAATTGGTATGACAGATATAGTATACAGTACATTTTATACTGAAGGTGCAAAGAGAGAATACATAGAGCACAGATATTTTATTGTGAAATACTATGCGAGCTACTTTGACAATGCAATTTCCCTTGTGGATCAAAAAAAGTCTGTCTAAGTCTAAGATGAAACTTAGAGATGACTTTGGGTCACAGGGGAGAGTTATTGTACAGCTCTATGGAGTGTGGTATGAATGGCGTCCTGTATCATTCACGGTGGGAGTGGACCTGTTTGGAGATTGAACTCCTCTGCTCCTCTATTCTCCGGTGAAGTGGGTGATTGTCCATAAAGGAGAGCAGTTTGTCCTGTGTCCGGCCCTCCCCCCGTTGTCCTTCCAGTCCAGCCTATTGTTCACATGGACTCCCTGGTACTTGTAATGGTCCATACTCTCAACCTCCTGGCCCTGGATGTGACGGGCTCCACTGGTGTCCTCGTTCTCCTGAAGTCAATTACTAGCATACGTAACATGTATTCTCCTCTCAGAAAGGCCTTGTTCTGACTGGGATTCGAACCCAGGGCATTCTTGCTGAGAACCGAGAGCGCTATCCACTCATCCGCCATGTCAATTGGTTAATATATCCCAAATCATTGAAATAATATAGAAAAACAGTTTCCATGATGACAAAAAAGGTCTGTTT